TATTTATTTTTCCATTGATTTTTTACAGAGAGTGGAAGGGAGAGGGATAGACAGAATTAGAAACATTGATGAGAGAGAAACATCGGCCAGCTGCCTCCTGAACACTCCCCACTGGGGATGTGCCCACAACCAAGATACATGCCCTTGACCGGAATCAAACCCAGGACCCTTGAGTCCTCGGGCCAATGCTCTATCAAACAAACCAGCTAGGGCTCTAGCTATACCATTGAGTAGTTAGTTCTATGACTGTGGCTAAGTAGATTAACCTCCCTGAGCTTCCATCCCCTCAACTGTAAAATGGGAGAATTAAGGTAGGAAACAATGTGCACCACAGACATCTGGCAGATAGGAGGTGATGCATAAATGACTGCACTCATCCCCAAGAAGCTAGACTACCATACATGGAGGCCAGAACTATATATTGTTTAAAATTAGATTCACATATACAATAAAAGTTTAATAATGTCCTGAACAAGTGAAACAAACTTATTTCAGGTAAGAACAAACCCTCAAGCCTTGCTGTGTAGTAAAGAAGTTGGAATAACCAGCATCTGTAGCCAATAGTCCCACAAACTGCATCGCAGGCCGCTGCCGTACAAACAGTTCCACAGCTCCATCCGTGATGCAACTGCCCCCCGAAATATCCAGTGACACGATATTAGGTAGAATATCCTTCTGCTGCAGCAAATGAAAAGCTAGATCTGATTGGAGCTGCCTGTGATTAGAAATATCAAGGTGAAACAGACATCTAAGTTCTTTAATGACTTCGAGAATTTGTGGTGTGGTCATGGTTAGACATTTCATGTAGTGCATTTTGAGAGATTTGAGTCGATCCTTACAGGTAAGCAGTGCAGAGATATCAGTGACCAGAGTATTGGAGATATCCAAGCTTTCCAGTTTTGGTAAGTGAGAAACATTAGCTAGGTCTTCATTATGAAAACAAACACTGAAAACACTTAAAACTCGAAGACCAGTGAGCTGACCAAATAGTAGTCTTGAATCTTGACGGATGCTTGTCGAGTCCAATACCAGACACTGGAGGTTTTGCTGGAGCCAGTTATTGCTGCAGAGTCCATGCAGGATGTTTGGCATTGGGAGGTCAGGGTCCGCCGCAGTAGCATCTAGTTCAGTGAGTTTGTGATGGCAGAAAGCTTTTATGAATGCAGCTGTAGAGATTTTAGCCTTTTTAATATTGACCAGCCTCAGTCTCATTTGGTTGCCTCGGAAAATGCTCGCTGTTCTATCAGTCAGCTTGCCTGCAAAAGAACCAGAACCATTTTGTAATAATAACTAAATCTCGCCCTGACTGGTTTGGCTGGGTGGATAGAGCATCGGCCTGCGGACTGAAGGGTCCCAGGTTCGAATCCAGTCAAGGGCATGTACCTTGGTTGCGGGCAAATCCCCAGTAGGGGGTGTGCAGGAGGCAGCTGGTCGATGTTTCTCTCTCATTGATGTTTCTGACTTTCTATCCCTCTCCCTTCCTCTCTGTAAAAAAAATCAATAAAGTATATTTAAAAATAAGTAATAAAATAAATAAACCCTTTTCTCAGATTATATAATTTACTCTTTGCAATGGTACTATAAAAACTATTAGTATTACCATCTTATAGTTGAGCAAACTGAAGCTTAAAGAATTTAAACAACTTGTTCAAGGCCCAAATAGGTGGAAGATTCAAGAATCAAAGCCAGTTGGACTCCAGAGCCCAGTTTTATCATAACAACCTTGTTCACAGAAAAAAAAGAACACAATAAAATAGCAAGTATAAAATATATACTATGCAAATAACATTATTAATAATTATTTTTAACCAAATTAGCGGATAGCCTTTAACAAGTCACTTCTCGGGGCCTCATTTTCCTCATCTATAAAATAAGTGGGTTGTACTACATTTCATTTAGAAAAGATTTACTAATCATCTTCTATGTGTGAGATCCCATGTTAAATAATGGACACACAAGGTAATTAGGAATCTGTTATAAGGAATTCCGTCGAGGAATGCACAAAAAGTACATAAATTATTATAATGGTGTATATATGTTATAGTGATTCATATCAAATATTTATACCAAGATGATATTCACTTTAGGTAAATTTTTTAATTGATTTTAGAGGAAGGGAGGGAGAGAGAGAGAAACATTGATTTGTAATTCACTGGCTGATGCTTATATGTACCCTGACCAGGGATTGAACCCGTTACCTTGCAAATCAGGATAAGCTACCTGGTCAGGGCTTATCTTTGGGTAAAGTTTGAAGACTAAATCACTTTGTCAGGGGTAAGGTGAAAGCTGGAAAAACACGTCAAAGACGACATGGAGGCACAGAACAGCAGATCATTTGGAATGACCAGAAAGTAAACCAACACTACTGGAACACAGTGTCCAGGAGATGGCATAGCTGGAATTGAGAGTCAAGAGAAGGTGAAAGGTAGATGGGGCCGATCCTCAAAGCTAGAATACTCAGATTTTAGGAACAACTCAAACATTTTAAGCAGAAAAATGGTCATAATTCTATTTTTAGAAAGACCAATTATGTGACAGTGTAAAGGAATTAGGATGGTGTTTGATGAGAGTGAGATGAACAAGAGATTCTTAATAATTTTAATCATGAGAGATGAAAAATTAAACTAGACAGAACATGGTGCCTGAATGGACTGGGAGAAAGGACTGAGGAAAAAGGTAGGTAAACTGGTGCTGGAAGCTACCCATTGTCTCCAGTGGTCGGCAAACTCGTTAGTCAACACAGCCAATATCAACAGTACTTCTTCCAATTAGACTCCCCCAGGCCGAAAACCGACTTCTGCACATGGGCCACGAAGTTTCAATCGCACTGTACGTGCGCCTGCACGTGGTATTTTGTGAAAGAGCCACACTCAAGGGGCCAAAGAGCCGCAAGTGGCTCTCGAGCCGCAGTTTTCGGACCACTGGCTACACTATCATGCAAGTGCAGCAGGGAACACAGAAGGCTGATGACCTTGGGTTTTAGCAAGGGCTAAAAGCTACACATCGATTGAGACAATGGTGGCTCAAGGCAATCCCCTAACCTGATCATCTTTTACTGTTTACCAAACCTTACCTCCAAATGCGTGTTTGCTTTGCCAAAGGGCAAATGTGTATTCTAGTACATAAAAAGCTATGGGTCCCGAGATTCAGGCAACCTCTCTGCTAGAGAGTAAGGTCTCCGCCTGGCGACCCCTATGCCTTCTAAATTTATATTTCTTGTCTAGTGTATCCGTTTATGCACAGCCCCTTCTCCAGATCCTTAATCCTCACTGCAAAAGGTTGTGGTAAGCAGGTTCCCAGGTTCCCAGTTTGAGTTGGGCTATGCTACCAAGATAGGAGGAAGGAAGCCTCTACACTTTAAGCTTTGAGGAGCAACTCAGTACTTTTATTCAGACATTTATTAAACAAATAGAGTGCTCACTGTAGCAAAGCCCTATGCTAGATGCAAAGAGTGGTGAATAAGACAGACTTGGCTCCAGGAGGAAGTAACCAGTGGTGTGGTGAAAACAGCAAGACACCTAGAATGAGAAGTGGTGCCTGAAGGTGTGACTGAACTGCTGCAATCTCATGATATAACTAAGTGGATGACCAGTTGCTTCTTATGGATGAGCAAAGAAAGTGGTTTTCTCGACATGGAATCTACTTCTGATGAAGAAGCTATGGAGAATACCGAAATAAAAACAAAGGACTTAGAATATTATGTAAACTTAGTTGATAAGCAGTGGCCGAATTGACTCCAATTTTGAAAGAAGTTCTATTTTGGGTAAAATACTACCAAACAAAATCACATGCTATACAGAAACTGTTCTTGAAAGGAAGAGTCAATCAATGCAACAAATTTCACTATTGCTTTACTTTAAGAAACTGCCACAGTGACCCAACCCTTATCAGTCAGCAACCATCAATATGGAGGCAAGGCCCTCCACAAGCAAAGATGATAGCATTTTTTAGCAATAAAGTATTTTTAATTAAGGTGTGTAATTGTTTTTCTTTAGATTTAAACTATTGCACACTTAATATACTACGTTATAGTGTAAACATAACTTTAGTATGCACTGGGAAACCAAAATATTGATGTGACTCACTTTATTGAGATATCCACTTCATGGTGATGGTCTGGAACAGAACCGGCAATACCTCCAAGGTATGCATGTATTATGCAGCCATAAAAATGAATGAAGTAATGACCGATGCTACAACATTGATGAGCCTTGACAATATTAAGCTGAGTGAAAGAAGCCAGATGCAAAAAGCCACCTATTGCATGATTCCATTTATATTAAATGTACAGAACAGGCAAATCCATGAAGGTAGAAAGTAGATTAGTGGTGGTTTAGGGTTGGGGGGAATGGGTTTAAAAGGTTTTGAAAGTAATGACAAGGTTCTAAACTTGTAATGAAGGCTGCACCAATCTGTAAATACACTGAAGAAAATCACTGAATTGTAAACTTTTTTTTTAAGGTCCACATTCTATTTATTCATACACAAAACCCAGCTTAATCTTTTTTCCCCCCAAATAATTTTTATTTCTTGAAGTACCAC